AAGTAAACGTTTTATCGTTTAGAATACAATTTAACCGTATAACAAACACTCCAAAAAACAAGACGTCAAATTGTACACCTTTTCAAGAGCGCTGCAGAATCCACAGCTCGTAACCATTACAATGAATGCCTTCGAAGGTGGGCCATCATGCTGCCCGGGTCCACGAACGTCTTGCCGCACTCGGTGCACATGAACGGCTTACCCCCCGCGTGGGTGCGGAGGTGCAGACTCAGCCCACTCCTGGTTGCAAACTTGTTGCGGCACACGGCGCACTCGAAAGGCTTGTCCCGCGTGTGAGTTCGGAGATGTCTCCGCAGATCGCCAGCGTGCAAACACTTTACGTCGCACTCCGTGCACGCATACTTCCGCTCTCCGGTGTGGACCCGGAGATGTGTGCGCAACTCTTTGCCTGTTTTAAATCCCTTGCGGCACACGTTGCACTCGAAGGGCTTTTCTCCGGTGTGGATGAGGCGGTGTACAGCCAGACCGCGAGTATCCACAAACTTCTTGTCGCACTCGAAGCACTCATACGGTTTTTCTCCCGTGTGCCTTCGCTGATGCGTGCACAAGTGACTTCTCTGCGTAAATTTCTTGCCGCACACTAAACACTCGTACGGCTTCTCTCCTGTATGGGTCCGCTGGTGAGTCTGAAGTGTACTGCTTGTCGCGAATTTCTTGCTGCACATTGGACACTCGAAAGGCCTCTCCCCAGTGTGAGTGTGGAGATGAACTTTCAGTGTTTTACCATCGCCAAATTTCTTTTCGCACACACCGCACTCGAACGGCTTCTCGCCCGTGTGGGTGCGAAGATGTTTTCGAAGACCGTAATCGGTTGCAAATTTATTGCCACAGACCGTGCATTCTAAGGGCATCTCTGCCGTGTGAGTTCGATGGTGTTCTTTCAAATGGGAACTTCGCGAAAATTTCCTTTCGCACAAGGTACACGCGTATGGCATCTCTCCAGTGTGCGTCCGGCTATGCGACTGCAGATTTGATGTGTGCGCAAATGTTTTACTGCACACTTTACACTGATATGGTTTCTCTCCTGTGTGGATACGGGTATGTGAACGCAAAGCTGGCCTACACGAAAATGTCTTTTTGCACTCGGCACACTCGAATGGCTTCTCTCCTGTATGAGTACGAAGATGGAGACGCAAATGTACACTAGTTCCAAATTTCTTATTGCACAGACTGCACTCAAAAGGCTTCTCCCCTGTATGGCAGCGTTCATGACTTCTCAATTGTTCAGTGCGTGCAAACCTCTTTTCACACACTGTGCACTCGTGTGGCTTTTCTCCCGTGTGCACCAGTATATGCGAGTTCAGACCACCACTCGTCACGAATGTCTTGTCGCAGATCGTACACTTAAAACGCTTCTCTCCTGCGTGGAATCGCAGATGCGTTTTCAGTGTACCTCTCTCCGCAAACTTCTTGTCGCAGAACGTACACTCGAAGGGCTTCTCTCCCGTATGGGTTCTGAGGTGAACTCGGAGATGGGAATCGCGCTTAAATTTCATCTCACAGACTGAGCACCCGAAAGCCTTCTCTCCCGTGTGGATCAACTGGTGAGCCTGGAGGTGACCGCTCTGCGTAAATTTCTTGCCGCACACTAAACACTCGTACGGCTTCTCTCCCGTGTGGGTCCGCTGGTGAGTCCGAAGGCTACTGCTGTACGCGAATTTCTTGCAGCACACCGCACACTCATAGGGCTTCTCACCCGTGTGATTTCTAAGGTGATCTCGGAAATGGGAACCGTACGTAAATTTCTTATCGCAGATAGAGCACTCGAATGGCTTTCCTCCCGTGTGGGTCCGCTGGTGAAGCTGAAGGGTACCGCTTGTCGCGAATTTCTTGCAGCACACTGGACACTCGAAGGGCTTCTCACCCGTGTGGGTCCGCTGGTGAGTCCGCAGGTTACTGCTCGTCAAGAATTTCTTGCCGCACACTGAACACTCGTACGGCTTCTCTCCCGTATGGGTTCGCTGGTGAGT